TACAGAAATAGCTCATTTGTCCTCAGTTTTTGCAATTGCAGTTGAACTGTTCCCCCAAAAAGAGTAAAAAAAAGCAATATAATAATGTGTACTTTTCTTCTTAATATTTCTGATGAGCTTACTCATAAAGCAACTCTACATTATTCATTACATTATTACATCCACTGTTTTCCTAACTCCACCCTGCTGGAGACTAAGACAGCTAACGAGTATAGAATTGGATTTTAATTTCTTAAAAGAAAAATTATAACAGATATGGTTTTACTTATGGTTTTCAGGAAAGATTGGTAGTTAAAATATTTTTAAAGAGAATTGCTTTCTGAAGAATACTGAAATATAGGTCAAAGTGCTTCTCAGATCTCCAGATTATTTCCTTAAATGGAAAACAAATTTCTAGTCTAGTTTCATAAATGCCATAATTCATTTTTAAGATTTGGATTCCTGAAACTACTGGAATGTTGAAGTTCATCAAGTCTTCATGTCTCACAGCCAAGGAGCACTTTAACCAATCTTATCTCCAGGAATCAGGACTGTTCTCTTAGTAAAAAAGTTCAAGAATAAATAAAAGGCAAGTATGTTTTCTTGACCTCAGCCAAGAGAGAAATATTAGCTCTACATATTAACTCTGGTTAGAGACGTATGTACATAGAGACCCTACATTTATACAGAGAACTTCAGAAGGTCTACAACTCTCTGTTTTATATTAGAGCCTTGCTAGTCAGAAGAAGAATTTCTTCAGGTCACCCAGACCACATGAAATGAGTTAGTACTCTGAAATTAATAAAAAATATGGGCCTCCTTCAAAATCTCTCCCTATAAGCAAATTATTTCAGTGAAGACTTAGCAGCAGCTATCAAGTCTCATACTGAGGTGTGGGTGCCACTTCAAAGTGAATTCTGTTAACGATGCTTGTTATCTTGTTGGACTGATGATATCAGCAAATGATGAGATTTCTTTAGCCCAAGGGGGTTGAAAATATCTATTCCATTGAACTTTAAAAGGCAGACCTGTCAAAGGGCAAGTCCCTGGGGTAGACAGACTGGATGGCAATAACATCCAGTGTCAGCTTACTGGGACAAGGATATGACCTAACTCCAAATGAGCAGGTGGCTAGATCAAATTCTTCCCCATTACCAATTCACAGGAAATAAGCTCTGTAAAAACTGCTTCTCCAATAGTATATAATATAAAATGTATTTGTAACAAATACTGATCTGATCCAAAGCAGCTGCAGCTGCTCTGATAGCCAGTTAGATGAGGTCCCTCCAGTGTCACCCCTCAACGTTCAAAATAAGACTCCAACTACCTGTTCACTTGATCCATCTACAAAATTACTTACTGAACTCAGACACAGTAAAAACTGTGGGAGTTCTCAAGTGATTTATATCTTATTTAAATACACATACAAATCAAATTACATTTCTGTATTTCTTTGTGATAACAGTCAGTCCAAGACTGGACTGTGGATGAAAAAAACCCAAACCAAACAAACACCATCCAGAAGCTACAATGCTAGTTTATCAGCGTGCTTCATCATCTTCCACACTTACCTTTACCTGGTACTTTAAAGCAAATACATTTATCTACACTCACTACTCTGAGGGGTCCCAGGCTTTCAGGGCAGATCCTTTAGGCAGCCCTTCTCAAATTATAGGCGCCTTATACAACCAGCTGCTTAAAATCCTTATCTTCTACCTTTCTTCAACACAAAGCTCCTCATGAAGCTCATCAAGAGAAGATATTTCTAACCATAAATAAATATGAAGTCCAAATCTTCATGCATACTAAAACTACTATCAAGACAGATTTTTGTGAGCAATAGTGTAATCCAGTGATTTATTTTACAGCTTTAAAATCAAAACCACCAGGATTCTCATCTCTGCTGTACTGCAAGCTACAAGCTCAGATATACAAGTAACTATAAAGTTACTTAGTCAATGGCCACTACAAGGCAGTAAAAGCTGGTTAAGTACTCTTCTACTGACAGTAACAGGTGTTTTGAGATTCAGAGGAGACCAAGGGGAGGCATCATTTTCAACATCCTCAGGAGGGGAAGAGGAGGGGTAGGCACTGATCTCTTCCTTGAGGTGACCAGTGACAGGACTTCACAGAATGGCCTGAATTTGTATCAAAGGAGATTTAAGTTTGATATCAGGAAAAGTTCTTCATCCATAGGGTGGCTGGGCACTGAACAGGCTACCCAGGGCAGTGGTCACAGCACCAGCCTGACAGAGCTCAAGAAGTGTTGGGCCAAGTGCTCTCGGGCACATAGGGTGACTCTTGGGGTTCTGCTGTGCAGGGCCAGGAGTTGGACTCGATGATCCTTGTGAGTCCCTTCCAATTCAGTTTATTCTCTGATTCTGTGTTTTTCTTATGTAGCAAAGACTAAATCAGCCCAGCTTAAGTGCTTTGTGCTGTAGTTTAAGCTCATGCACAGAGACATTTACCATGATAAACAGAGTAGTAATAGCTTATTTCTTCATACTAATTTGCTTTAATGTTTGGGGCCACAATCTGTCATTCACTTATCTTTGCATCTGTTTCCTCATTAATAAATTAAACATAATCCTTCTTTCCTCTTGTCAGTCAGTTGATTGTTCTCAGTATTCACAAGGACTCTGTAAATATTATTATACATGCAGTTGAATTACTAAGCATATTAGTGCTCTAGTCAATTGTTTCACAGTATAAAAAACAATAGTAGCACATTCCAGTCAAACTTGTAAAATATGAAAGTCTTACTTAAAAATAGTGTAGATAAATCATTCTTTCAAAATTAGATTAAAATTGGTCTACTATAACAAGAAAAAGTTCTGACGCAACCTTTCAAAAATAGAAGTAAAATAAGCAGTCTTATGACAATTAGCTGCCAGTGCTACTGATACATTAAAAAATAATAAATAAATAGTCTTTGTAGCTCACAATTTAATAATACTTCATTTATTTGTAATTTTGCTGCTCTTCAGAAAGATATAATGAAATGTTTCTGAGCTCCGGTCCATCCACTCCAAGAAACAAACAACTTGTGCTGCAAGCATTTAAAAGGGCGGTTTCATCATGAAAAGGTCACAAAAAGTAACAAGGTCCTGGCAGCTGCAGCACCTTCTGTCTTAGACAGAGGAATGTCTTGCTTTCTTTATTACTTAGTAGAGAATGATTCTACTACCCTCATTCCATGTCAATATTTTTATCTGCATTTAATTACAGACAACGATTTAGTTGAAAATATCTTAAGAATCCAATACGGATAGACCTTGTCAGGTACAGGTCTGTATTTGATGACCATCTGCATGGTATGAATTCATTGAACATTACATCTATGTAATAGCTCAGTAATTGCATATGGTTCTGGCTGATTTTATACAAAACAATTAATGACTGGCATGTCTTCATAAAAGTTTATCTGCTGCACAAATGTCTGGCTACAAGCACCACCACTGACTAGTGACAGTAGTAGCCAAACAACTCCTATAGATAAACTGTCAGTAGTACCACCTGAAAACATGTTTGCAATATTTTACATAAATGGTGTTAAATAAAAAACTGATCACATTTTCTGAAATTGTAGTATATTTCTACACTGTGCTTTGGCAAATGCTTAGCACTATTAAAAAATGTCTCATAACTGAAGTGCCTTACTATGAAATTTTTATTGTCTAGAACCAGGCTCTAATTGTCTTAAATGTTAAAATTTCACTGATGGTTAATTCTGCTTTCTACTAGTGGGCACAGAAATTAATTACTATGACAAAAGTATTAACAACTTTTCTTCTTGTTTAAATTAGTATGCACATTGGTATGCATACAACTTAGAGGCTTGTCATGTTTTTAAACAAATGATGCCCAGCAGTCCCTTCCAACCTAAACCACTGCATGTTCCTATGACAGCCAACAGCAATAGAATAGAGAAAGAGTTAATTCAACGGGCAAGACTGCAAAAGAACAAGAATTGACTGACTCTTCCAGTAGGGGGAGATGTTCTTTTACAGTTCATCAGCAATTAAAAGTAATAACCAGATTACCTCTCTACCTTTTTAATGAAATCAGCTGCTTAAGACTAACTGGTACATGTGCCTTGGTAATGATTATGTCCAAAAGAAAGTTGTATGGAAATCAGAAAAACCAAAAATTCACTGCAAGAGGCCAATGTGAGTAAAAATAGGAGACTCTTATTCTTGCCTTCATCCCAAAACAATTATGTTTTGACACATTATTTCTATCAACCCCTTCAGTAAAACAGCACTTGGATTACTGTAGCTGAAAGTGCAGTGAACTGGGAACATGTTTAGAGGAACACCTTCATGTAGCTTTGCCACCAGAGAAACAGCTGTGAACGTACACCACAGGACATTTTTTAAAGCAATCATGGTGACAACAGAAATTCCATTTATTAAAAATGAATGGGATTTATTCCCGATATATTTAGACGTCTATACAATTGCATCATTCCTGAAGACTCCTTTTATTGTCTTTATCAAAATCATGACCCATCTAGGTAGATCCCAAGACTTAGAGCAAATGTCCAAACCAACTGAGATTAATATGAGATAACAGGTGCCTATTTCACCTAGAGGAACAATTCATATACAGGCATGTACAGCAGAGTGATATGAATTTAATGAGCTGATGCTTCCCTAGTCTGTCTAAATAGAGGTGAGCTAACTGAAGCCTCCTTATAGTTTTTCTGCAACATTTTTGATTGGTATAGACAGAACAACTTTGGAAAGAATAACATTGTTTTCCCCATTTTAGGCAGAAGAAAATGAAGGTTCACCAAAGTCAATGAGCAGCCTTTGGAAAAAACAGGAAAAAAAAAGCAAAACAGTCTGGATTTCTAGCTGGTAGTTCTGCTAAGTGAACAGAAATCACTGCTGCTGGTAAGTATACAAATTACTTCCCACTTCTAAAACCGCCTATCAGTAAAATGCCACACTTCCTACTTTCTAATGATGTGAAAATGGATGCTGCTTTTACTCTCAGCAGGCTGCAAGGAGACACACCTGCAAGTACAACTCCAAGCCTTGTCGTCGCTGCTCCAGGACCTTGGGGACCCAGTTTCTCACATGCTTTGAAGGGATCTCTGGTGTTCTTATGAACTTCTTGAGCTGCGAGAAAGAAAGACAGAAAGAAAGAAAGAAAAAGAAAAAGAAAAAAAAGAGCATAAAAACCTATGTATTAAGGACAACAGCATGGAAATGAAGTTACTTACAATCATCTCCTTGAAATAATAACAGCTGTCATACCTACAGAATGCAGTTAAAAATCTTCACTTCCAGTTGCCCTGGATAGTAAAGAGGAACCCTACTAACAATTTTTTGTGACTAATAGCCTGAAAATGAAATGGCAACCACTACATGAGAATATTTGAAATTAGATTTTCCCATTAGTCTACCTGGGACAATACCTCACAACATTACCATGACATAATCAGAAATTACCTTGCTAAGTGCAGTGAACACACAATAATGGCTTTTAATTCCAGACTTAGGCAGTTATAAACAGGTGTGAAAAGTACAAGGAGGCGTGCAAACCATTTCTCTAGAAAGCTGGCAATCAAGAGAGAAAAATATTGATGCTCTCAAAGTGTATCAAGAGATGGACAGTCTGTGTTTAATATCTTACACAGAGAAACTGCAAGATTGTCACTGATTATATTTCAAAGACAGCTCCATAACTATTCCTCTAAAGATTCCCACAGGAAACCTTACACATGTATCTACATAGATCTATACATAACGTGTATCTATATAGATCTCTACACACACACACACACACACACACGCACATATATATTTATATATGTATACATATGATAGTATATACAAAGACAAAAACATGCAACCTGACAACACTAAAAGTCTCCTTGCTGGAGCAACATATTTTTTTAAAATCAAAAAATATTAATGTTTTACTCAAAACTACAGAGCAAAAATAATAACTGAAATAGACTCTGTTGCATTTTAATAGAAGGTGGCATTCTTTCTGTTGGATATTGCCTCTGAGTAAATCTGAAGCAAAGACTGCAAGGAAAGAAACTCAAAATTGACTTTGACATGCATACCCATGGGAGACTGAGAATTTACATTTCATCTTTGAGCTTGCTGGGATGTCACTATAGGAAAAAGCAGTGGCAACGTATCAACGTCTCTGCAATCACAAGTATCGAAGCTGCAGCCGGGGAACCTCAATTGCTCTGGAAACATTTTGCAACTTCCTTATTTCTTAACAGTGCTAAATTACAATTAAATGTGAAGTGAGAAAAACAACTTGAAAATAAAACTCCAAACCCAGCTACGTTTACCAACTGATCTTAAAAACAGAATACAACCCCCCATTCTTCCTTCTAAATTGATTTGGGATGTTGAAGAAACTACAGTCACTGCTGTTGTGAACTATGACAGCACCTGCAAGCAAGCAACAAATGAGAAGAACACTCCAGATGAGTGCAGACAAATCTGAAACTATACAAGCGTCCACCAAGACTTAGCTGCTTACAAGATAAATACTCTGTGGCTGGTAACTCAGCTGGTGATTAACAATCCCCTTGTGCTCTGTGGCCCTGTTACATATAAAACATCCAAATCCCAACTATTTAATGTGCTGGCATAGATACTGGTTGTAAGTATAAAGCCAACATTATACAGATATACAAAAGGTATACTAAAAGCCCATTTTCCTATGCTTACAATAATCCAGTCATATATATTGCTATAAATAATTATAACAATGTCAAGGAATATTAAGCAAAACTATGCATTAGCTGTATTGCTTCAGACTTGTTCCAACACAAAACAAAACACATTTCTCTGAGGACTATTACTGCCCACAGTACCTTCCTGTCTGTAACACTGACCTAATGCCTATTGACATGCTGTAGTCTCTATTTCCTGAAAGACCTAAAGATGGTGAACATGATCAAGTAAAGGGTTATTTGCCCAATTATGAAAAGACAATATGATGTAGAGTATACACTAGTTATTCTAAAATTATAGACAGCTTGCAAAAAAAGGATGTTTTACACTTCAGATTTTTGCAAATTTCACTGCAGTAGTTTTAACATTGTGACCTTCTAGGATAATTATATTTAAAAAGAACTACCAATATTTATTAACACATGGGGAAAGAAGTATAGAAAGATATTTGGGGATAAATATGAACAAATGGTTGTATTTTAAACTATGTTATACACCTAGAAATAATTTAATTCTTGCTAAAAAACTTTCCAAATGAGAATAATAAAACTTCTGTTCAGACATATATAATACTGTAATGGGTATGGTGCATAGCCTGACAGGCAAGGTTTGTTGTTCATAATCAAGGCAAAGCATAATGGTCTATGCCAGCTATTTCATAGAAGCCAGAATCTGTGGGTCGTTTCTGAGAAAAGTATAAATTGTACTCCTGGTGTAACATGGAAGTTTTAAAAATATTTTAAACCTTTTCCACTACAGCCAGATTACACAGGAAGTGGGGCTTTACTTTCTTATACAACTGGAATCTATGAAAGACTGAACCCAAACCAGAAATCCAGATGTGTTCTTGGAAACAGCTTTGTTTAAAAAATATAATTAATCAAAACATTGATTGGCATTCTGATGAATGAATAATGTCTTCTAAGAGCAACAGCCTTCCTTCCTCCCCACAATGCCAGTGAGGCACACTGTTCTCCAGCAAAAGGCACAATCTCCTCATCAGCCTCTACATCCATTTTCTACCACAGGTGCTCTCTACAGAAACTTTGTTTCTCCTTTCTACAGACCTCTCCTACATTAAGGGCACCTTGAATATGCAGCAAGTCTAAAGAGACCTTTCCAATTGCCATGTACTCGCAGGAATTTAGAACGAAACATACATTTCAAATTAAAGGGGAAGAGAGGAGGATAAAGACCATATTGGCATGCTGATAGCAAATTGATGCAAATACTTTCTCTAGGATTTTTGTAACATTGAAAGCACTAAGGTTCAGAGTATGAGCTGTTCAACAATACTAACCAAAATTTTACAACTTCAAAAAGTAAGACTTATTGGAAACGTATATTTTTGCAAAAACATGATCTATGTTTTGCATCTGTGCAGGGAACAAATAAGGAAAAGTCTCTATTCCTTTGCAGAGTAATATAAATAGCAAGTGAATAAGAAAACAAAACAAAGTGAAATGTGATGCAAAGTGCCTGGTTAGAATATCTGTTTTCCAGATTTGTTTATTTGCTGCTATTTCTGCAGAGAGAGAAAGGGGGCATAATTTATAGTTTTTCTGGTGAAAAGAAATCTCTGCAAAAGGAGTTATTGCAGTGAAATGGTGTACAAGAAGACAAATCTGAGAGTGAGACTGCAGTCATCCACAGCTTTTAGGTGGAGTAATTGTGCAGCTCCAGAAATTACAGTGAAGTTAGATCAGCTGTCCCATCTCTCTGGCTAGATGGAGAATGCCAGTTATGTGATGTGGACCCGCCACCAGTTCTGCTACGTGTCCATCCTGCAATGGGTGAGGACAAGCCCAAGTACTCCCTCTGCAAGAGGAGGATACTGTCAGTCTTGCAATCATTTCAGCTGGATGATGACTGCTTGGAGCATGTCACCACACCCCCTATGACATGAGTCACCACCAGGTGGGTGTGGCTCTGGGACATCCATCATCCTGGAGCACCACAAAGGTGGGCTTCAAGAAGGAGTGCTCAGGTGTCCTGTGGGTGGCATCCAGCCTCTGTGTGCTCACTGAACTGCTTTCAGAACCATGGTATGCTCCTCCAGACACTGCAACCATGGATTCATCATGGGATGGAGATATTTGGCAACAGCGTTGGATGAGCCATGGTGGAAGACATCACCACAACCATCCCAACCAAACACAGGATGAATGCAGAGCTGCTGGGCTGGATGCTGGGGGTGTCCCTCCAAAACTGCATAGTGACATTTGTGCAGCAGTGTGTGTGTGTGTGTGTGTGTGTGTGTGTGTTGCTGTGCAATGCAGCAGCAGAAGGGCCACCTCCTCCACTGCTGCTGGTGGGGATCATGGCAGCCACCCCTTAGCTCCCATTGCCATTCTACAGAGCAAGAAGGGCCCCTGGCTGAGTGAGGGAAGGCTGTGCCCAGGGCTGCCACTTCCAAATGGCACAGTAAATGCTCCCCTGAAGGGTCACAGCAACTCCTAAAGAGAAGGGAAAGAGACCCCCAAGACCCCTCCAGCAAACAAGAGCCCAGCACCATATCAGTGATGTTGGAAGGTGCCTTGGAACATGGCTAAAGCAGGACTAGTGGTATGTGTCAGCCCTTAACAGCTCCCAGCCCCAACTCTTGAAATAAAATAAATGCACAATCTACAGGGAAAGTCTCAGTGTTATTAACAGTAACACTGTTAATTCTGTCCTCGCTCTTTTTTGCTTTTTTGCCAGGTAGGATGGAATGTTAAACCTGATGGCTCCTTCTACTTGTGTCAGGTACTGTATCATTGCTCCTCTACATGCAAGCACTGCACAGCTGATCCTGGGACAGGTGTTCCCAGATCGGGGTCTCCAGACCCAGCCCATGACCCACTGCTCATCACCCCAGGCCTGTTTCCTCTTCTCTGTACCTTCTGCTCCATGTCCCTGGGCTCTGCTCTCCTACCAGCCTGCAATGCCTGGGGCAGCCTTTCTATGGTGGCATCCAAATCTCTCCTCTTGCCTGGAGTCACAATTTGGTGCTGCTCTCTACACCACGCCAGAGTCATACCCTGCACAGCAGGAGCCCAAGAAGGGGAATTATAAAGTCCTGTCCCTGTGAAGGAACAGCTGCACAGCTGCCCACATGGTGAGCAGCCTGAAAAAGGCTTCTGCCCACAACCACAGGCTTTCTTCTCCCTTTTCCATATCCAGCATTGGTGTTGGCTTTTCTTCTCCTCTGCTTGCAAAGGACCCACCTGTAGGTGCTCAGCAGATAGATGCCAAGTGACTGAGGACACTGAGTTTGCTTAGTTTGGAGAAACGTGTGATGAGGGATGATGTCATTACTTCCTGAGGAGGGGAAGTGGAGCCCTCCACTCAGGAGGGAGCTCAGCATTTCTCCCTGGGATTCAGTAACAGGACATGTGGGAATGGCTCATAGCTGTGCCAGGAGAGGTTCGGAGTGAACATTTCTTCACCAAGAGGATGATCAAACAATGAAAGAAGATCCTTAAGAGATGGTGGATGTCCCAAGCCTGTCAGGGACAGTTGAACAATGCCCTTAATATAATGCTGTAATTTCTGGTCATCCCTGCATTGCTTAGGCAGTTCAACTATATAACTGTACATCTTTTCCAACTGAAAATATTCAATCATATTTCTAATTCTAATTCTGTACTACATTACATTATACAGTACAATACTATTCTAACAATACTGCCTACTTGGAGAGGGCACATTTTAAGGATATAAATCCTGATTTTTGCCTCTTAATGTGCCCTAGCCTATTTCACTGTATAAACTCTATTAATCTGCTTTACCTTCAACTGCAGAATTATTTTCACCTGTAAAACAAAGTACTCATATATCACAAAGCTTAGTGGTGGGTGAATGAGTTATTTTACTGTTTCTGACACTGTTGCTTATTTGGTGTCATATTTAATATGAACACAAGAATGACAATATCTGAGACATATCTGTAGTAAAACAATAAACAAGGAAATGAGTATTAATAAATGGCAGATGACACCACTACTGAGGCAAGAAGCAAATAGGCAAGAAGCACTAGCACATCTTAATTATGGTGCAATAAAACAAACGGGTCTTGTCTTTAGATTTTGATGGGTCAATAGTTGCCTTTTGCTCAGACAAGTTTGCTTAAACTTATACACCTTACAAGCCTGGCAAAATCATCCTCAGGTTAATGCTTCTTTCCTGAGCTAATTCAGGACCACCAGCAAACGTAATAGTGGATGTAAACTCCTCTGAAGTTGCACTGGCAGGGGCTGTAAATACCCATGCTGATCTCTGTTGTTTGCAGAGGAAGCTCTTCCACAATGAAGGCAAGCAGCATCAGACAAAGTAGCTGACTGTGCCCACACTCCGCTGCCACTCAGACCTACAAACCAAGAGACATTAAGTTGACCCAGATCCTAGGACTGAAGCTCTTCAGGACAGTCCCACTGCTGGTAATGGGCTGCAATGTTCCTCCAAAATTCTCCTTCACAATACCTGGTCTCCATAAAGTAGAGAAAAAAAATAAAGCACGCCTTTCAGCTGCACAGCAGTCTTTCAGTTCAGCTTGGAGAGAAAAATTCATACTTTAACAAACAATGGTCAAAGCAATTTACAGAAGTATTAGTGGATAACCACCCTTGAAAGCACCGAGCTCCCTTCTATATGTTACTGAGATGATTCAGTAGACAAGCTTAGCATTTATTTTATATTACATTAATTGAGATGCTTTACTTGATCATTTTTGTTTCTGTTTTTCTCATGTACAAAAGTTGTTTCCTCATCTTTACATATGGCAGGTTAGCAACAAAATGTATAGATCTAACAAATTATTTGCCTAACTGGGAAAAAACCACTCTATTCGTGGTTGGCATGGGATTTATTTTGTGACTTTACAAGAAGACAAAAACATACTACAGACAGTATTTTAGCCATACAGCATGTAAACAATAATCAAAAAGAAAAGGAGACTTAGTAAATGTGAGAAATCATCACTCCCTTCTACAAAACAAAGAAGAAATTGATTTAGTAAGGAATTAATTTCCAGAGGCATGAATCACAGGATGTATTTATGATAAACCATGTACAAGAGAGAGGAAAACCACAATTACAAGAGAGAGGAAAACATCAGTGAGGCAAAACAAAGCAACATATTATAAAGTAAAAGTTCAGTACCTTTTTATGAAGTGCATGGAATTCACTATACCTCTTCTCCACAAAATGTTTCCTTCCACTCACCAGCACTTCTATTTTAAAGACCTGAAAATTATAAATAATAAAAAAGAGGGTAATGTTACTTGCACAAACAGTTCAGTGACATGGCTGTGACTGAACATTTTACCACAGTCATTCTTCTAAGTAGTCCCAAAAAACTCAATGTGCCTCATGAGTTGCAGAAGTACAACACTGACGAATGGTAAATATGGCTGAATCTTCTGTTAATCTGCTCTTTCAACAAACATACAAAAATCAGCTTAAACATGGACTATGTGCTTCATATTAAAAACTAAGCATTAAAATATCTCCTTTCAGAAAGATGCAATATACTTTGAACTAATCAAAATAAAAAATAATGGTAGGGACAGAAAAAAACAGGGAGAAATTGGTAGGGAGAGAAAAAAAGAAAACAGGGAGGGGTTTAATTCTTCTCCCCTTCCTACAATGCAGTGTACTAATACATTCACACATGTCCAATAAGAGCTGGGCAATATATGCATTATGTTACACATGGAAATAGAAAAATAAATGCAAACACTGTATTCTAGGCTAATTTCCTCCTAACCTACAAATTCACCTCTAGTCTCAATTGAACTTGTGCTATGTACGCTCTATGAAAAAACAAAACAAAACGCGCACATGGCAAATGCTTGTTTTCTTTGTATGATACATGTGACAGCTTTTGTTGCTGCCTCTGGAAGGTTGAAAGGCCAGGAGAAGCAACTCTCTGGATCCACTAATTAGTAGTCACTAACATGACATTTTCTTGATTCTCAGGTCAGCAGGTCAGTTTTGAGGGCAAGTGACGAGAAATATTTTGAGGTACTCAAGAAAATATGGTCTATTAAATGAAGACAAAATCAGCAGAGAATTAATACAGAAAAGGTGCCTGTTCTATCTAGGAGTTCTTTGTTTTCTGATTTGCCCAGAAAATGCTGGAAATAATTATTTTCAGGACAATGAGAAACAATGTTCAGCACAGATGATCACATCAAGACCCAAAACTTAGCCAAATAAAATGTTCTTTGAAATAAATTTGCAAACAGTGTTTATGCCTGAATGCAGAAAAAAGGGGTTTCTGTCACAACATGCCCAGCTAGCATTGATCAGAGCAAACACGGACATACCATACTGGATAAACACTTCCTATTGTCCACTAGAACCTGCCTTTCAAACAGGTCAAAATACTATGGTTTTCACTGGCTAGCCAAACAACATTAAAAACAGACAGCATTTTATTTAATCCAGACTGAAATGCTTTTACCTTTGTTTGAATGCAGTATGGATAGCACCACAGTCATTTCCCACCAATATTTACATTACCAAAATTCATTTGGGTTGCTGTAATAACCTGTGCTACATTCTACATCTTTGAATGAGACTATGTCTGTGTCCTAACAGTACAAGTATATGATCTTATTTGGGTGCATTGATTTCCTATCCCCCGTCCCCCTTCTACTTGGATTACTTTGGAAGGACAGCCAGTGGCAATACAATTTTCCTCCACACATGAAAAAAATCCAAGGCACTCCTACAACTTTAGGTTCAGAGTTGTAAAGAGAATCACATGAAAAGGAAAATCAATGGAGACATTTTTCTTTAGTTAAGTATTAACATATCAATTAAATGAGAGGGAAATATTATTTACGTTTCATATTCTACATACTGCATAAAAGAAATAGTTCTGAAAGGAACAATTTGGTTTGGATTGCACAAGAACACAGGAGTTTTAAGGATAACTTGTTAGAAAGAATGAGTAACAAAATATGAAAGCAGTTAAATGAAAAGTGATCATGGGTCTCTAGCTAAGGTGTTGCAACAGTTTTATATTTACTTGATTTTAAATCTCCGGGAATTATGAGGAACTTTATAACACCCACTTACACACCAGTCAGCTAAGGCCCACTCACCACTTTAGGTTTAGCACTTCTGTTGGCTACAGGATTTGCCTAACAATTTGGAGAAGTCTAAGGGGCTCCTCCCTCAGCTACAACCACTCCCTTGGCAGGTAACTTTCTTGTGAATCACAGCCTGGCACGTGAAGTTCCATTTTGATTTCATTCATTTGTGTGTCTTCAGAGAAATATCTGTCCCTCTGAAATCTAAAAACTCATTTTTTTCATAAAGGAGAAGAGTGGATTATGTGAAATGAAATATAAATCCTTATGTGGACCTTGTTTTCAAAGCATGTATCTATTTTGTTCTGTGTTTCATCATGGGTAAGGAACTACATAAATGGTTTCAGAACACCAAAAACTATGCTACATTTATTCTTCATTCTCTTTCAATAACAGTTTCATAATTTTTGCTAATGTAATGACATTGAACAATGTATTTGACAGTTACTTTCACAGAAGGTGAAAGAAGGAAGCATAGCTTCTCCTGAAAAGTAATGTTACTTCAAAATACAGACACTGCCACCCTTACACCCTCAACTCCTTGCACCAGTGTAAAGGCTTTAACTTGCCCCTCACTATCCAGAAGCCTCAGATCCAGCTTTAAAAGACACCTAAAATTTACAAAAGCAACAGCAACTGCTATGCTTGAAGTTGAGTATCACTGAAAACAAAACTGTGCAAATGATGTTTTCTAATCTACTCACTGTGGCACCTAGACTTTGGAAATATAAAGAAATTTGTGATAAATAAGTGGACAACCCAGAAATGTTTCTGTCTAATTTAAATCTAAATATTAAACTGATTTACAAAGTAACTTGTAAAGCAGAAATGCAAGAAATAACACAATTATATTTATAAACTTGTATGATTACATGACTTAACTCAGACTGCATAAATTCCAGGTTTGCCTTGTCACCATTTACCGGATCACAATTCACAAGAGCAAAATAAAAACCATATGAATTCGTTTCTGTGCCACTGTTTCATAAAATGACATGGCTTTGTGTGAAAGATAAAAAATACATTAAGCTGAGAGAAAGATAGGATCTCTTAATGGATACAAAATAGCTATAAGCAAATCTCGCACAAATTTAACTGTGCAATTGCAGGCCCTGGCAGAAAAACAATATAAGGAAACTGGTGAACATAGATGAAAGTGCCAAAATAAAGACAGAAGAACTATGGGGGAAAAATTGCAACAGTGCTAGGAAATTACTTTTCTAGTAAAAATGTTCATGTTCCTTGAACAGATAACTCTCAAAAGATATATGACTTTTTATAAGTGAAAGATACTTAAATGAAAAATGCAAGAATTAATCTCTGAACTAGACAAGCAAAATACTTTTCCCATAGCCATTGGAATACTAGAAATTACAATTCCCTGATCAATTTGCAGTTCACCCTGACTAGGACACAAGGGACCACAGATTTTAAGACACCAATTAGAAAACTCCAAGAGTACTTTGACACTAAAAACATCTCACTGTTCTTGGTTGCTGCCACAATAGTTATCAGTGATGTCTGCACATAGCTACAAGATCATCAGCCATTAAAAGCATTTTTCCAACAGACTTTAACACACATTAGCAATGTATGGGGCAAAAATCTCTGCAGTGGATATCAGAATGAATAATGCTGATTTCTTAAACTAGCAGAATTGCAGCTCTGCCACTGTAACTCATAACCAAATTTGTGATGAAAATTTCAAAAAAAGAATTCCTAAGGTCTTTGTTAATAAAATAGGGAAAACTTTCAGGTCTGAGTACAAAACAAATTTACACATAATTTTTTTTCCCCTCTTCACTTTGTTCCAATTATATGGATTACATTCAGATCCTGGAAACCATTTTCTTTTCTTATTGTTAGCAACCATCCCTGATTTTTGCCATTTTCCTGAATTTATCTGTTTCTGATCATTACCAAACCTCTAAACTAATGGTCCTTTTTTGATACTTTCAAGAACATATACATTTCTCTTCTTGTTGCAGAAGCTTGACAGTGCTAAATAGCAACTAAACTGGATTATATATGGGCAATAAATTGGTACTGTATCACTGGGAATTTTGAAGATAGAAAGCACAAAAGGAAGAAAACAGGAACTAATAAGATGTACAAAAACTGCCCACGGTGCCCACAAGTGCATGTCATGTATTGTGGGTAACACTGACAGTGCCTCCTGTCAGTTCTTACCTATGTCACATATGTATATTGGATACAAAAGGACATATTTTATCTGGTAATCTGATGCAAAAATATGCATTTCCTATAACTTAATCTCAAAAAATCATGCAATGATCAATTTAACAAAAAAAATGCAGACAAGAATGATAAATGTGACCATGAGTAGGGATGAAAACTAATAAGTGTAATAACATCTCAGTTTGGTCTTCTATTACACAAGAAATACACAGATGACTGTCACATTCACTCATAGAAATTATGCCGGCTTTATAGTTTACTATTATGGTAAATTAATCCTAATACATTGTGCATACTTATACATGAAAAAGTGAATTGCGATACTTTTGAAAAATTATAGTTGCAAAAGAGAATTGGGGCAGTGTCATTTAGAATAAGGAGATACAAAAATCAGATGCAGAAAAAGATAAATTTACAAAAACCAGATACATTTGTCTAACATTCACCAGGAAAGAAGACTCCACAAAATTCTAGTGCCATGTTTTTATCTCTCAAGACCAAGCTTACTGACCCTAATTCTATTTAATATATTACTTACCGAAATAAATACATCCCTTCAGATGCTTCAGTATACTTGACAGACTTTTGTCTGAGGAACAGCTAATGCATTCAAAGTGTCAAGAAAACTCAACCTTAAACCTTTGCCATGGCCATATGGAAGGAATTCCAGAGCAAATGAAATGACAGCTACGGTCCATGAAACACTAATAGGATTTCCACGTGTTTAGTGTTTCATTATCACTCAGACAATGGCACTTTTTCTGTCTGGGTTGTGCAACAACTACGACTAGAAGACCGCAGAAAATAGTAGAGATCAAAAGATACCTTTAAGCCTATTTCCATCCTACTGTTTCAGGGGAAAACAATATTTTACATGATCAGTAAGAGCATCTGGGTGGTTGTGGTAACTGCATGTAGCTGCAACAGCAGTTCTGCCTCTTGGGA